CTCCGCTCCCGCTGGTCTCTCCCATAGACAAGTCTCTCCAGAGGATACAATGTAAGCTAGCTATGTTCACCCGGGCTTGAATTCTTCTTTGATCATTTTTTCGCTTTAGTTCCCTCTTCTCTTCCTCACTGTTGTGTCGTTTGGGCTGTTTTGCGGTGTCTGCAGTTACAGCAAGAGGAGCTATAGCCAATTCTGCTAACATGCTACAGTGTTTAGCAGCGCTGTAGAAGCTAGAGGACGCAGCCTTGTTCTGTGATTGCAGGAGAGCGTCACAATAAGTCTCTACTCAGCACTTTTTATGGCCTGAATTCATACACAAGCTGAATCAATGAGCTCAAATTTTCAATTAAATTACGGATTATAATACAACTTGTATGTAGTAAAAATATTTTTTATGAACTCATTAAAAAAACCCGGGTATAGCTTCTTTGTTGTTTGGTGTTTTGTGGGAAAAGGTGTTAAAAAATTTCACATTGGAATTCTTGATTACTAAAATAGCTGCCGCCCTACCACAAACATGATGACAATTAAATGGATTATTGTTATGTGAATGACCAAGAGAAAGTGGTGGACAAGAGATAGCAAAATTAGACAATAAAAAAAAAATCTTGAAAAGTGTGCCTTCCTTTTCTCGGTGTCCTTCTGACTGTTGCATGGTCAACTTTTGCCTGAACTTGGTGCAGTCCACCAGAGAGTAATATTTTTCCAAGCTTTGAACATCTCACAGTGCACTTAATACATCATATGTGAATGGAAAGAGTATGGCACAACTGCAAACTTACCAAGACCCAGACTGCCCAAAACTAACAAGGCGAACAAGGCGAAACTTGAGGGATACAGAAAAAGAAACCTGTGGTAACTCTGCAGATACCCACAGCTCATCTGTACATGGGACCACTATTAGTCATGCACCACACAAATCTGGCCTTTATGGATGAATAGAAAGCCAGTGTTGAAATATATCAACATGTGCAAGAAGGTGCGGTGGCCAGGAGAGACTAAAATGTAATGTTTTGCCAAATGAATAACACCATCTGTGCTGGGAATCCAACACCACTCCCTACGCTGTGTCAAACCTGGTGCTGGCTCAAAAATGCTCCGAGGCTGCTTTTCTTCAGCAAGGACAGAGTGAGTTTTTGAGAAAATGGATGGAAAAAAATTATAGGAAGAGACGACATCGAAGGATCAAAAAGTGACGTCGCTATGAACGCTTGGCCGCCACAAGCCAGTTATCCCTGTGGTGACTTTTCTGACACCTGCTTAAAAAGGCAGAAGGATCGGGGCGACAGTGGCTCAGTTGGTAGAGCATTGGCCTTAGAGCCTGAAGGTCGTGGGTTTGAGCCCACTAAAAGACCTACTTCACGACTCCCACTGATGACTGCTGTCGTTGTGTCCTTGGGCAAGACACTCAACCCCACTTTGCCTGAAGCCCCTGCTGAATAATCAAGGCTCCTGTGGACTCACCACCCCGACCAAGAAATAGATTAAGAGGAAGAAAATGGATGGATGGATGGAAAAATATATATCTAAAGCTATCTTGAAGAAAAAAAAAAGTTTGCAATAAAGCTGAGGTTTTTAGTCATTAGTAATTTGCGGGACCATTGAGTTTTTAGACGTAAAATATACGAATATAATGTCTCTTCCTTTTCTCTGTGTCCTTCCGCTTTCACTTCACAATTATCTGGGTCTTTCAAAGAAAATCAAATATATAAATCATCTAAGATTGTAGTGGGTTAGGGTTTAAAAATTCAAGGGGAATGAATAGGGCTCCAAAAAAGTTTAGTCACAGCAGGCTCCCTGACAACCTCCCCATCATGAGGAAAAAAGCCTCTAATCATTCTGAAATCACGAACAAGATTTAATTTTAGATGTGGACTCGATCAAGAGATCACAAACGCAAATCTGCTCAATCTCATTCATCAGTGAGTGAATAAAACTAGGCAGACACTGTGTGGCAATAACTGCGCTTGTGGCTGTGGAAGAAGAAACACTCACTTCCTTTTCAAAATGTTTGGTTATATTCACAAATGAAATTAATAAATTAGGCGTCTGTTTTTCTCCTGCCTGTGCTCCCCCATGTTGAATTCCATTAAGAAATATTAGGTGGCGTTCATGTTCTCGAATTCTATTTCAGTTGGAGGGCAGGAACAACTCTATGGGGAAGAAGAGTTTTTTGTATTCAATGTTGAAAAAGTAAATGGCCAAATATCTTCCCAAATCCCCATTCATTAGTGATTACATTCAAAAAAATAATAATTTTATATCTGAAAGTACTCTCTACTGGCCAAATCATGCATGGAACTTTGTGATGCTTTTTGTTTTATGTGGATTGGCCAAGGAACTATGAAGAAATGATTGCTAAGCTAAAACTTTGCTAAGATTGCTAAGCAAGATACATGACCAGTTGAATATGATCAAAACGCTCCACTGTGCTCATGGGATACTATAACCGTGAACGTGAAGTGGTAGATGGAGACTCCCTGCTGAGATTAGCCTGGTCCCCCTTTAATCAATAGCCAAAGCTCTGCCTCCATTTTAATTGTTCTTACCCAGAAGACACTACTGCCTCTTCCCCTCACACATTTTCAACCACAGGCAATAATCTTCAAAGACAAGAAACAAAAGGCAAAATCTTGTTTCTGAATCACCGGTGCAGCGAGATCTGGTAGAACAATCCAAATCTTTCATTGCCAACTATATCTAATCTAAAATTCTAGACTTTGTCAAAAGAATTGGATAATCAAGGCAAAGAGGGAAAACAGATATAAAAGGCATCCACGAGGAGACTGTTTGAGTCAGAATGAGCCCAAAATGAGTTTCAATCGTCGTCACAAATCCCCTCTTAAATACAAAGCCTAAGCCTCAGCAGTGTACTCTCTACGCGACTCCTTCTAAAATGGTATCGAGAAAAGAGGTCAGATTGAGTAGAACATATCTGCCGCACTCACTGTAGTTCAAGAGATACTTAAGATCAAACCAACATTATGCTGTTAAACTGTGCTCATGCTCAGTACTGTTCATAATACAATAAAGCAAGTGTGGTGTGTAATATATTTTCATATCTTCATATTTTGTAAGATCCCGTTGATGGGGTCAGAAAACAAAGTAAGTTCTCAGAGTTTGTCGACATAATAAGAATGACATTTAGACTGATCTTGCAATTGTTGGTCACTGTGACACCAACACCGTGTACTTCCTAGATGTGTGTGTGTGTGTGTGTGTGTGTGTGTGTGTGTGTGTGTGTGTGTGTGTGTGTGTGTGTGTGTGTGTGTGTGTGTGTGTTACATTTAGACCTGTGCTGTGGTAAATGTGTATAGACAAACTTTTTTTTAAATCTTATAATGATGTTGCTCCCTCAAGTGAGTTCCTTTACTCATTTGAAAGTTTAACTGTGTAGTCACATGTTGGTTTTGCAGTAAAAGGATATTTTTCATTAGTCACTAAGGATTGCAAAAGGTGGATGTTAGATATTCACAGAAATCTAAAGAAATAGCTTTATAACAAAAACAAAACTTGTATGTTCCAAGTCAATCATTTGCCGTTCGGTTAGATCCTTAACCCTTCTAGTCGCAGCACACAACAAGATTTTCAGTTTATGCACAAATGAAGACCAAGCAACCATTCTTCATTGGGATTAGTTTAGGATTATAATCATAATTTATTGGTTGCAAGTAAAATATGACCTTTCAGCACTAATTCTTCTCCCAGGTGAAATATGTATGCGTATGCAAGTGCTGTTGAAAGTGCACTTGGGAATGTGTCACTTGCAGCATCTTGATATAAGGACTGAGACTTCTAAACTTGCGGAGGAAGTGACGATAACAATATAGGAGGTGTCGATGAGATGTGCTAAACCGAGAATAAATCAACGTCAAGAATAATGTATCGCCAAAGAAAAACCGCAAATCTACAGCAAATCTAAAGACACAAAAAAATGCATCATAACATATTCAAAACGTCACCCTAGTGCATTTTTTCCTTCATAGAAATGATTGGCAAGGAGAACTTACATTAGAACAAGGTGTCAAACCAGACCTCAAAGGGCCGGTGTGGCTCGAGGATTTCATTCCACACCAGACTCCACCCATTTAGTCCGGTCTTCAAGTTAAGACTGGACTCACTTGAGGAAATGGGTGGAGTCTGGTGTGCTCCTGCTTGGTTGGAATGAACTCCTGCACCCACACAATTCTTTGAGGAACCATTTTGACACGCCTGCTTTAGTTGCAAATGTGACAGCCATCATAACGACCCAATTGGTTTCAAAGCAAGATAGTTAACCAGGGTGTCTACAGAACTTCAGAAACCAAACATATTTATCACATATTAAGTAAAGACTCTCTGGACATGTTGAAATCACATCTCAAAACCCACCTTTTTGAACTGGCCTATTCTTTGTAGTAAGTAGTAGTAGTAATCTTTATTTATATACTGCCTTTCACAGAGCAGAGTCACAAAGCAGTTTACAATTGTGGGCATTTGTCTCTCACTCCACACAGAAACGGTAGGGGAAACCTGAGTACCTGGAGGAAACCTACGCAGACACAGGGAGAACATGCAAACTCCACCCAGAAAGGCCCTGTTCCTGCCGGGATTCGAACCCAGGACCTTCTTGCTGAGAAGAGAGAGTGCTATCCATTTAGCCACCGTGCCGCCCACAATTTGTAATTTTAAAATGTATTATATTCTGTACTTTAAATATGGTGTGTGAGGTTTTTTAAAATATTGTGAGGTGTCCTTGGCTGTCTTGAAGAATGCATTGCAATGAAATTAATTTTTATTAGAAAATGCACCATTGTGAACATACCTTTACAGGAGACTCAAGCAAAAAGTATTGGATTAAAAATAAACTATTGGGTTGCTTGACTTCAATTCTCTATGGAGTAGTAATGTATTGCCACAAAATAAACCATAACCTCTCTTGCCTTGTGTGCTGCCATAGTGGAAATATAATGTAGAATTGTATAGTGTATTTTGTGCGATGGTCAATGTGGCGCCTTCACCTTTGAGAGTGTCCTGCTCGGCCCTCATGATGTCGATGAGGGAGCTTTCCAGGGGGTTCATGTTGAAGCTGTCGAATGACCGAGTCCGCTCCTGCAGACACAGAGAAACCACAAATACATTTATCTCTAGACACACACACACAAAAACCTGCATCCCTGTCTGGACTCCCCACCGCAGCAGCAATTACACTTATTATATGTTACTCTGATTGAATTGACTTTAGATTACCCAAAGAACACACCTACACCAGAAGAGACAGAAGGCTTAGGGAGCTGTGTACACAACCAAATGGGCTGTTTTGCAATTCTGATTACCGCCAAGTCTGGGCTAAACTATGACATGGAAAAGTTGAACGTATCATTAAATCCAGATGAAAGACGCAGGACGGATAATCTATAGTTGACGGGATAGAAGTGAGGGAAACGAAAGAGTTACAGCCTGAAATGCAGAGGCGTGGTGAAGGTGGTTTGAATTATAGAGCCTGTTGGTTTCGCAAATCTTCTCGAAATGCAATTTGGACCATATAAATAAAACTTTTTTTTTTATATTACTGGATAACTCTAGCATACTATTGGCTGTAGTCAAGGAAGCACCAGGTCAGACAGTTATTGATATGTTGATTTCCTTTATACTCGTCAAATCAGACTACTCTATATCAGCAGAAACAACAAGCAGAGTTTCCCCTTTTCTTTTTATTGCATATATATTGGTTAGAAGTTTTGTATGTTCATTGGTTTCCATTTGATAAATCTGTAGAGAAACTGCCATTACTACAGGACATGACACACAATGAATAATAAATGACGCAGTAGTTGGCCATTTTATCTGAATCCACCCTATATACATTTTTCTCTCAGCAAAAAAATGACAGCCACGTTCGGTTATCTCAACTGAAGGATAAAAACTCCCTGACAGCCGCTCATATTTCATTTCATTTCATTTATTTGCATGCGGTTAAACCCGGGAGTTAAACCAAACAGGGCAGGCCTTGAATGAAAGTCTTTGTTGCCCGGGGCGAGGGCATCCTTGGCATCCCGACCGAACTGGAAATGCAGTATGCTGGTGAGGCATGTAAACATACTTCTACACTACGCACTCAAACATGTGTCCATTCGGCAGATAAAAACTGTTATGTCTCCGCCTCGCTCTTTTCAGCTCCACAAAAACAACTTCTGTAGCCCACATAACTCGCGACTAAATATCACATGAGTGTCATACTGCTGCTTTATATCATCTGGCTTTCCCTTTCATTCTCGCAGTTCTCCAGACTCATCAGTCTAAAAAACAGAAGTATCAAAGGGCACGTGACAAAAAGTGACCCAATAATTACCCATCCTTAGTGGCATTTGCAAGAGTTACAACACTATCTATCATTTGGACATGGGTCTAAACTTTAAATATGAAATGGCTGGACACAATCTAAATTTAGATACAAATTGTAGCTATTCAAAAGGGATTTTTTTTTTTTTTAACAGTGACTATGTAGTGTCTGTTCCACATTAGATAAACAGACATGAATGGGGTTGAAATGGGGTTGAAATGGGATTTAAAATGCAAAGAGAAGGAAGGATAAGTGTAATTTTTAACCATGTAAAAGAGATCAGTCAAACTTTTCCTACTACTGTATCACCATTAGACAAGGCAAATGAGGTCAAAATGATAAAGTAATCAATAAGTAATACAAGCCGTGCTATTTTTGCTCGTAAACTGATCTTTCAATAGATCTGTATGAGAATATTTCTTTGGGAACATAACCAGCTGATGTCACAGGGGTTTAGACTTACTCAGAGTGTAAAAAGATCTCCGGGGCAATAATAGACTGTCCGGCGGATCACACTTCCTGTCATATGTGTAGCCTACATAACAGCCGGACACCACGATCTGCCCTGGGTCTGACCGATAAATCAACCACGCTTGCGCAACACCACTTACCAAACATGTCAGCCGACGCCGTGTGTGACCAATCTATAGCAAACAATATTTCTGTTACTTTGTCTGCACGCAACGGAGGCTTTATCTGTGGAATAGAAAGTGGCACACGTCTCCTGCTCTCGGCCTACTCCCTTGCTCCAGAATGCAGGGTACAGAATAGTCTTGGGAAGGAGGGCACTGCACGTACCGGGTTACACACAGTGAACTCATTGGGGATGGATGTTTTTTAAGTTCAAACAGGAAGGCAAAGAACTACGCTCTCAAAGAAGTTGCCCTATTAAGTCTCCATTTCTTATACATGTTTGCTTCCTCTGGGATAACCTTTTGTCGTCTTTTTTAAGAAATTATAAACACTTCCTAAACCTGTTTTTATAACTATTATTGAGAGTATGGAGAGAAGGAAGAGGATCTGAGGCACTCTCTTTGACAAATGAGTAAGTCCTTACCAACATTGTCTTTGGGTCTTTTTCAAGGCATGAAATGATATTATGAAAGTATGGAAAAAAAAAAAAAAAAGAAGGTCTAAAAATTATTTCAGTAGACTGGTGAGGTATAAGAAACAATAGTCAATAAATTTCCTATTAAAGCTGGGGCACCCAACTTTCTTAAGTATTTTATTAAGTATCATTAAGTATGTACTATTTTTTCCCTTGGATAAGCTTTTTTCAGACAGAAAAGTGAAAAGGAGTCTATCAATTCTTGGGCCAAAGTGTCAAATAGTGACTCACAGGGTTCTTTCTTACAAGAATGCAAAAGGTAATAAAAAATTCGAATAAGAGGGAGAGAAAAAGTCTATACAAGTATTTTACTTTTACAAGTCTCTTTTTGTTGGGGCTAACACCATGTATAATTTATTAAAAAGTTAGGTGTTCTTTCTGTGCCTGTTAAGCACCCTGGGTTGCTTCTACATGAATGAATAAATACATTTGTTTTGCCTTACTTACCTTACCTTACCCCAGGATTAAATGTTATCCTAAGCTTACACAAATTATACACAAAGAACGATTTCTGACTATAGCGGGGAGAATACAAGCACTGTATGGCTTTAAGTAATGTCACAAGCCCAAATGTGCTTTAATCTCCCCAAAACATAAAGCAGGCAATCTCAAAATGGCCAAATTTGTAATCAGATTTCCCACGCTGGCAGAAAAAAAAAAAAAAAAAAAAAAAAAAGAGCATGCAAAGATGACACGGTAGAAGAACACACCCAGCTCCGCACTCTCTTCCCTCTAAACAAATATCCACATAAGGATATAGAGACCAGGCCTGGACAACCATTCTCTCATATCCGCCTTGGTAACCTGTAACGACTTAGCCTACAGCCAGGGGGCAAATTAAACAAGCACTCACTTATTCACTTACAAGTACAAGAAAACAACAGGAGTGCATGTTGTAGAAGAGTGGAGCATATGGAAACTGCAGTCACGGGTTTACAGGGGGATAATTTGGGATTGGACGTAAAATTTTTCCATAATGCGAGCGGGAGAAAACATGATTCAGTGCTTTTGTGACTGACTCTGTCTTTGTCTTCTGTGTTTTAGATGTCCATGTTTGGGTATATAGTTCGTTCTGTTGGTTTTAAAAAGATCAAATTGTTTTACGTTAACTTTATTGGGTGTTTCTACCTGCCTTAGGACAATGGATGCAATTTAGCTATTGTGCCAATTCCAGCATTATTATGTTGACGTTGTTTGCAGACACATTGTATACACATGCAGTACATATGCAGTACATATGTACTGCCCTAAATTTAGTAATATAACATAATAAGAGTGAATGGTCGGAGCGAAACAACGTGGCAATAGATGATTTTATGAAGAGCGCAAGAAACATTATTTCTTATTATATTTAAATTATTTCTGTTTGAAAATAGCTAAACATTTTTAAAATAAGCATTTTAATAACATCCAAATTAGGTTTGTTTTCTCCTCTCAGTTCTCAGAGTGTATGTGAAGTGTTGCACCAAAGATTAAATAATTATGGTAACATTTATTTAAGTTAATCAAGAACACAAGAATTTGGAAAATTGCTGGCCAATACTTTTTTTCTATTTATGAATTTAGGACTAGAGATCGAAGCCATTTTCTCACTGCTGGATGAGAGAATATTTGAATCCACTATAGGAAGTCAGCATCATTGACTTGACACCCACATTAATCTCTCCCCTAAATCCACCAATCACCAATACAAATCCATCAGACTAATTCAACGTCATTTATCACGGTGAGATCATTTCCGAATGAAATGTGACATAGCTGGGAAGTGCACCATTGTTACACTGGAGAATGAATTCATTTTGAAGGATGAAATGCGTTTTAGACTGGAGAGGTTGGACGTGAGGCCTGGGTGCCACGCTGCAGTTGCTAAGCATTGGCCCGGAGAGCTTCAGATGGCGATTAATCATCAAATCTGCCCCTCCTGCCTCTCTCGCTCCCTCACTCAGTCACACACAAAACAGTCCAGCTGATCGGCAAAGCACTACACACACACACACTCCCACACGGATTATTATGGCCAGTCATCATGGTCAAAACCACTCTGCAGGGGGGACACACATCATTTAAAGGGCTGCTGTCATATTGCCGAGTTGAGCCACACGACTCAAGGCTGCAGGTATAAACATCCAAGACAGCGTGTTTGCTCCGTGGGCTTTAGTGACAAGATGCATTACGGGAGAAAGTCCACCGGAAAAAAAGCCTGGACATCCGCACACTCTTCCTCCATCGCTTCTCGTTGAAAAAATCCAAACAATGCATTGATTTACATGATGCAGTGCGGTGCCTTTGCTTGGCTAAGTCTGACCTTCATTCGAATGGACGTAAAAAGGTTGGATTATTGAATTTCAAAGCATGTCGGCAGATTATGGAAATTGAATGAAAGTATAAGTATGTTTTATGTCAAGCAACGTAACGTGATCAATGGAGAGAGGTTTTGCACAAAGGGATAAAACTGCAAAGAGCAGGAATAATCTCCAAGAGCAGCCCGTCCTTGGCTCAAACAGGTACAATAACTTTACTAAACCTTTAAAAAGGTCAGATTTCTATTTTGTGCATAGCAGTTGTATCAGTACCCTAAATGAACATACCTATTAACACTGTAAAATCTTTTAAATCTTCATCTTTTAGACAAACTGCGGGAGAAAATTGATGACTGTGATT